TAGTCCAGACTGACCTGGGACCCATGACGATGCACCTGCCTCAGCCTTCCAAGCGCTGGGATTACAGGCATGAGCCACCACACCCAGTCTATGGCCTTGGACATTTCCAACCTCTTGTCTTCCCTTCTTCTTCACTCGCTGGGTGCATAGGGTTTGACCTGATACACCAAACACAGATCCTTTCTGACCTTGACATTTCTCCCTTGGTAAAGAACAGTCTCCCCCGTTGGTCAGATTGCTGATGTCTCCAGAAAAGATTTTCTTGTCCTTCCCAGCTAAAGTAACTCACCCTTCTTGACCACCCTCCCTGCTTTAGGGTGGACCACAGCGCCCTGCTTTATTTTTTTGTTCTTAGCGTTGGTATCATCACCCCCAGGAAATCAGTTCCATAAAACCAGAAGCTCTGTCTTTTATTGGTCACTGAATCCTCAGTACCTGGAATGGCATCTGGCACATAGAAGATGCTCAATTAATACTTATTAGATGAGACGGCAGGGTTGTGACCAGTGACAGAACACTTGCCTAATGTGTATGAAGCCCCCCCTTTTTTTCTTTCTTTCTTGCAATACCATATAGTTTTTATTTTGACTATAAGTTTTCTTTTGTCATTTTATCTTTTTTACCTAATCCTGAAATTAAAAAAAAAAAGTCATAGAGCTAATAGGAAGTTCTGGTGAACAAAATAATGCAGTGGATATTTGTCGACTACCTTCCGCTCTCCGTCTGTGGAGAGAACACGGAACAATGTAAGAGACGATGAAAAAAAGTAAAGAGACAAATTCAATGTATTCCGTTAAGTGCTGCGTTTGGTGATAAGTACATGAGGTTTTCAGGCATGTTGGAGAGAGGGAAGGGGTCCCCGGATGGTGAAGGTTTGGCTAAGAGACAGGTCTTTGAAGAACGGACAGCCCACTCCTGAGCTTCCGTCTCAACAGAATGCAGACATCCTGGGTCAGGACGAGTCTAGAGGTCAATGTCTCGTCAATGTCTTCCCAAGGAAGTTATTTCACCAGTGCTATCTTTCCCCATCATGAATGGCCATAGATGTTATGTGACAGGAGTAACTACCATCTATTGACTGTGTACTAAATACCAAGTGCCCAGACCATTTAACCATCACGCCAGCCTAGAGACGGCTACTGTTGTCTTCCCTCTTCGACAGCTTGAGAGGAAGGCTTCCAGAAGTTAGACTTTCTCACCTCAATACATCCAGGAAGCATCAGCTGTTGAGTGCCAAGCACTCATCTTGGAGCATAAAACATTAAGCTGCTATGTAAATCCTATATTTTTGAATACTTGGAAGTTTTATTATTATCGGAATAGTTTTTATTTTTATTTATTTATTTATTTTGGGGTTTTTCTAGACAGGGTTTCTCTGTAGCTTTGGAGTCTGTCCTGGACTAGCTCTGTAGACCAGGCTGGCCTCGAACTCACAGAGATCCACCTGCCTCTGCCCCCCAAGTGCTGGGATTACAGGCGTGCACCACCACCGCCTGGCCGGAATAGTTTTTATAACCATAGACATAAAAACAAGCACACATATCTCAGTTGGCTTCTTGACACACACACACACACACACACACACACACACACACACACACACACACACAAAAAAAAAAAAAAAAAAAAAAAAAACTAGATAGAGAAATCAGTGACTATTCTTTTTTTTCCACTTCCACCCCATGTATACACTTTCTGGAATGTCAACATTAATATTTGTGCTGTTTTAGAAAGAAAAAGAAATGTCCATTTCTTTTTAAAATAATAATGCCAATGGTATCCTCACAGCCATAGGCCACGTGTGAAGGGCTTCACCTTCTTGGAGTTGTCGCTCCTACCTCCCAGAGAAAGAGATGGCATGGAACTAAAGATAAGGAGAACAAACCCAGAGAAGTCACTCAATGTCTCAGTCACCTGCTGAGAGAGGAAGCCATACTTTGAACTCAGCTCTCTCTAATGCTAAGGTCACTGCTCGCTTCTGGGTTGGCTCAAGATCTAAGCCAATGCAACACACAGAGCTAAAGACAAAGTCACATCACGACGTAGTAAACATTAGCAGCCCTCAGACGGAAAAGCATCTTGCTTTCTGAGGCAGCGTTAACTTTTCGCCCTCACACTTCAGTGATTCAGAAACTCCAACTAAGCTAAAGAAGTAGTTGATAACAAATGGGTTTATGATAACAATTGGTTTATGAATTCCTGATGATAGTCAGTATATTAAATAAGCTTTCAAATGGCATTTTTGAGCCTTATTTCATACATCTGTCTTCCACAGAGTTCACGCACAAATGAAAATTTTCAGCTGAGATATTAGTTTTGCTTTCACGTGCTACTCTGTATGTTACCATTCTACAAAATTTGAAACTATCCTAGTAAATGAGCATATCATAATTTGCTTAACTAAATCTTACTGGACGTAGTTCCAGTTTTCATATTATCGTCCATGCCATAATGGCCATCTTTCTAGATTAAAGTGATGGTTTCATCCAACACCCCTGAATTTTAAATTCATCACCTTTGAAGGCACAATAGACTTCACTGAAATAAACAACTCCAGTCAGATCCATCCCAGGCTCTGCTGGCAAGGGTGTGAAAAACATCTCACTGCTAGCCATCCTTTCCCAGCTATCTCGAATTGCCCTCTCAAGGTGACTGCCGACTTTGCCAACTGAGAGGTTAGTTTGGGATAGCACTGTGGAAGTTTGGGAGCCAGGGAAGTTCCCAGGAAGCCTTCGGTGTGATGTAAGTGAGGGGCTGCTGCGTCAGGCAGAAGAAGATGGCTGCCGGGTCAGGCAGAGGAGACGGATGGACGGACTGAAACAGGCTTTGCCATGAATCTTAAGGACAACGACAAGAGTTAGGGTATTATTTCCTTCCCCGTCTTCCCAGGACAAGGCCAATACCTAGTAGCAAAGAATGGCAAATCGTCTTCATTCAAACACTGTTTCTGAGGGTGGGTGGAGCTAAAGGGTGGGGTGCTAAGTAAGTCAAGGTCAATGGGAAGGTTCTAGCCATCCCTCAGCACCTGTTCAGGAGAGGAGAGAATTAACAGCCTGGGAGTTACAAGTTTGCTCCCCCTCTAGTAAGTGGCTGAATCAACACATGGGTGACATCACCAGTACAAATCACATTATGCTATTTTCCTTCCTTCCTTTCTGTCTGTCTTTCTTTTTGATTTTTTTTTAGATTTTTAAATTTTATTCATATGAGTGCTTTGCCTGCATGTATGTGTGTGCCCACATGTATACCTGGTGCCTGTGGAAGTAGTGAGCATCCATGTGGGTGCTAGGGATCAAACCCGGGTCCTTTGAAAGAACAAGTGCTCTCTTAACCATTAAGCCAACTCTCCAGCCCCATACTATTTTCTTACAGTTTTAAAAAATATTCATTTTTGCCAGGCGGTGGTGGCACACACCTTTAATCCCAGCACTCGGGAGACATACCAGGCAGATCTCTGTGAGTTCGAGGCCAGCCTGGTCTACAGAGTGAGTTCCAGGACAGCCAGGGCAGTTACACACAGAAACCCTGTCTCCAAAAATGAAACAAAATATTTATTTTCGAAAGGTGATATATTCATATATTCACAATTTACAAACTAAGACTGGCACTCAGGTATGTGAAGTCCCCTGCCAAGTGTGGCATTCAGCTACCTCTCATGTCTTCTCTTAACCAACGTTAATTTAAGATCCTCTTAAAAACCTCGACTTGGGGCTGGAGAGATGGCTCAGCCATTAAGAGCACACACTGCTCTTGCAGAGGACCCAGGTTTATTCTCAGCACCCACATTGGGAGCACATGCTGCTCTTGCAGAGGACCCAGCTTTATTCTCAGCACCCACATTGGGAGTTGACGCCTCTGGTCTCCTTGATTCCTGGCACTTGTGTATATACTTTGCACAGACATACAGATTTTTTTATTTTAAATCTAAACAAACAAACAAACAAACAAACAAAACACAAAGCCCCACAGCTTAGACTCAGCACGAAGGCCAGATTATCTTAGCTTTCAAAAACAGACTGAGCCCAGCACCAACACTAAATTTAAACAGCTTGACTCTAGTCCAACAACATAAACATCCTTTATTTTTCACGAGCCATATATATCAAGACTACATTTTTCAGTAAATTAAGGGAGAACATGCTGTCAATGTCTTTTATTTTTCTATAATTCTATTATCATCAAGTTAACAAAATTGGCAAGAATGAGGAAAGGATGCAGAACGGATCTGTTTTGAATATGAAAACACATCATAACCAAAAAGACCATTGCAACTGTTAACAAAATCAGGCGTCGATGGGTTGAGATGACTTGGTGGGTAAAGGTACTTGCAGCCAAGCTCGAGTGTAATCCCTAGACCTACATGGTGGAAGAAAGAACCTCCATGACCCTTGTGTGCCTTACACAAAAATGAATGAATGAATGAATGAACGAACAAACGAACGAAAGAACAAACATAATTTTATAAATTAGGCTTAGACATTTTTCACATTTTAGGGAAGTGTTCTCCCACAGAGTTCCACCCTCAGCCCTGACACTGTATAAAATCACTATGGTTATCTCATAGCTTGTACAATTGAATTTAATGTAAAGAAAGTACTGAAATAGTAATTCCCAGGTGTTTTTTTGTTTGTTTGTTTTTGGATTTTTGAGACAGGGTATCTCTATATAGCCCTGGTTGTTCTGGAACTGACTATGTAGATCAGGCTGACTCAGAACTCATAGAGATCCACCTGCCTCTGCCTCCTAAGTGCTGGGATTAAGGGCATTTGCCACCATACCCGGCAGGATTTTATTTTTAATTTCAGAGAAACTTAATTGAGTTTCATTTCCTTTTTATAATGAGGAGTCATTGTTAAGTCTTTCGCTTTTATGAAAGTGCTAACATTAGGTGATTTAAGCATTTCTTACATAATTGACGTCTGTGCTATAGTAAATACAGGTTTGTTATTCCGTGGCAGTGATCTGAATTTTTTTTTTCTATGCCCATCACTTTATTACAGCATGCAAGACGACAGCATAGAAGCATCCACTTCCATCTCTCAGCTTCTGAGAGAAAGCTATCTGGCTGAAACTAGACATCGTGGGGACAACGAGCGAAGTCGAGCGGAGCCTTCCTCCTCCAACCCTTTCCACTTTGGCAGTCCTTCTGGGGCTGCAGAAGGTGGGGGCCCAGAGGACCTTCCGGATCTTTCCGCCTTCCTGAGCCAAGAAGAGTTAGATGAGAGTGTCAACCTGGCGAGGCTGGCCATCAACCACGACCCTCTGGAGAGAGTGGATGAAGCGCAAGCTCGGAAACGTCTGTCTTCCGACCAGACGAAGAAGCTTTCGCCCAAACCAAGCTTCGAGCCTGCCTTCTGCCAGGACAGCCCTCGAGGTCCTGCCCGCTCTACGGACAGTCCCCCGGAGACAAAGAAGCCACAGTACAGTTCTGAAACCCAGTCCAAGAAAGTCTTCCTGAACAAGGCCGCCGATTTCATCGAAGAGCTGTCCTCCCTCTTCAAGGCTCACAGCTCCAAGAGGATCAGACCTCGGGCCTGCAAAAACCACAAGAGCAAAACGGAATCCCAAAACAAAGTCCTGCAGGAAAACAGCCCCGCCTTCTCAGATCTGACAGAGAGGCGAGAAAGAGCCTCGGTACCCATCCCCATCCCCGCAGACAGCAGGGACAACGAGCTGAACCACGCGATCGAACAGCGGGAAGCCAAGAGGCGGGAAGCCGAGCTGGCTGCGGGCGAGGCTGCTGCTGGCGACAGCACCCCAGGGTCTTCGCCTTCGTCCCTGTACTACGAAGAACCTCTGGGGCAGCCTCCCCGCTTCACACAGAAGCTGCGGAGCCGAGAAGTCCCGGAAGGAAGCCGAGTCCAGTTGGATTGCATAGTGGTAGGAATTCCACCGCCCCAAGTAAGGTAAAAACAGCCGGCGAGGGGCGTTTTAGCAATGCTATCTGTCTGCCGTGATTGTTGTTCCGGAGAATTCCATGCTTCCTTTGAGCAAAGGAGCTAGGATGAAAAGCAGGAAGCTAACATTAGCCCCGTAAGGGATTCAGGTTGCTCTATGGCTGTGGCTGTAGTTGGCTTGGTGCTGGAAGAGGACGTGCTCAGCCTGTGTGAGGGCCTGAGATCAGCCCCTCACCCCAGCACGGCAATAAATAAAACTTCTTGGGCTACTAGAACGCTTGTCTAGCTAGCACGCTGGAAGTCCCAGATTCCCTCAACACCACAGAAAGCCAAGTGTGGTGGCACAAGCCTATAGTCCCCCAGTCAGGAGGGAGAGGCAAAGAGGATCAGGAGTTTAAGGGCATCTTTGACTACATATAGAGTTCAAGACCATCTGGGCTACATAAGACCCCGTCTCAATTTTTTTTTTCTTCTAAAAGCCACATACTTTTAAGATTTTAAAAAGTATATGTATATTTGCATATGTGCGTGGATGCTGATGGAGTTCTAGGCCAATCTCAGCTACATGGTGAGTTCAGGGCCAGCTTGGACCACGTGTGACCTTGTCCCAAATAATGACAACAAATGGAGAGGCAAGCAGTAATATAGCTTTTAAGACAGAGTAACACGGTGGGTAAGGTCAGTTTTTAAAATTTCAGCCGGGCGGCGGTGGCGCACGCCTTTGATCCCAGCACTCGGGAGGCAGAGCCAGGCGGATCTCTGTGAGTTCGAGGCCAGCCTGGACTACCAAGTGAGTTCCAGGAAAGGTGCAAAGCTACACAGAGAGACCCTGTCTCGAAAAACCAAAAAAAAAAAAAAAAAAAAAAAATTCATTCCATGTATATAAAACACTATTCTCCCTAACTTCCAAGTCTTTCCCTAATATGTCTAATGAGTAGAGGGGATGTTCGTCGTGTGTGTGTGTGTGTGTGTGTGTGTGTGTGTGTGTGTGTGTGTGTGTGCATCAGCCGGTCCTTGCATTTCCGGGAGCTCTCTACCTTCACCTCCCATCTCACCCACGGAGCCCTGGAAGAACAGACAGACACTACCACGTCTGGCTTTTACAAATTTAGACTCTCATGCTTGCTAGTCAAGCTCTTGACCACTGTGCCGTCTCCCCAGCCCGGAAGACACTCATCTTTGTTGTGCCTACCACAGTCAGCCGTTTGAGGCACACAGGCAAAAGCTTCAGGGCTTACACATGTCATACCTAACTGCATGTCCGAACGTTAGTCTATACTTTTAAATATTCCCTTCTCTGTTTGTGGTCCCACGGAACCCGGAACCAACCTTAGCTTCCCAGGTGACATGTGTTCCCTCTCTTATTACCATATGGCAACATGTGAATAATGCCACTAAAATAGATCGGTTTTGTGGAGAATTACTAGTATTCAGAGTCCTGTAAGAGTTACTATGAGCCGGGCGGTGGTGGCACACGCTTTTAATCCAGCACTCGGGAGGCAGAGGCAGGCGGATCTCTGTGAGTTCGAGGCCAGCCTGGTCTCCAAAGCGAGTTCCAGGAAAGGCGCCAAGCTACATAGAGAAACCCTGTATTGAAAAACCAAAAAAAAAAAAAAAAAGAGTTACTATGCTTCCCTAATCACCTAATCACTGCTAGAATATGATATCATGACCACGTGACCTTTATTCTCTGTAAGTCAACAGCATTTCATCTTTTTCTTTCATAATATTCATACTATAAAGCAATTGTATTAATATGAACAATTGTATTTTATATATGCATACTAATTGAAGGTATCCTGGCCCAAAGACGTACTCATATATCAAATTTTGCTTTCAAGGGCAACATAAAGCATATCCAATATTATTTTCACAGTGATGTAGACGGTTTACTATCAGGTTACCCAACTGGCCTTCAAAGCAGGGTTTGGAGGGTTTTGAGTCTTGAGCATTCAGCATCACTTCTCACCCATGCTGGTCCCTAAGGAATGTTGAGTGAATCAATGAATAAATAGTGGGTGGGGAAAACTATACTTTCAGGGACGTTCTCCTAGTTAATGACTGGAGAAGTCCCTTGGAGTGTGAAAAGTATTGAGAACCCTGAGGAGAGGGCGCAGAGTGAAGCTGGTTCCTAGTGTGGCTTCCTTGCACTTGGCATGAGCGATTGATCTTGGTTCTCCTCATTTGGGAGAGAGAGGAGAAGGCAGAGGACACCATCTGAGTGTTACAAACAAACAAACAAACAAAACCAGAAAAGCAAGAGATTTGCCTTACATTTAAACCATGAGTTAGACAGTTGGCCAAAGATACTGGAGACAGTGGGAACGGTGGTGTTCAACCTTCTCCTTTAACTATGACTGATGACACAGCCCGGGCCTCTGGTCGGTAAAGCTTGTGAGGTGTCATTCCAGAAGCATGACACACGTCCCTCTATGGCTTTTGGTCAGTCTCAGTAAGCGGTGAGACCTTAGATTACAGAACATACACACTCAGAGCGGTCCAGTCCAACTCACTGGTTTCTGGACACAGACTGGTTTCTTAAGAAAAAGACCAAATCCCTCAAGGAGTCATTCTTCCCTTTGCTCAGTGGTGACAGCCTCGGCTATAAGAACGAATTCAGTACACCACCCCCAAAAAATCAACCAGGATTATAAAGTACCCCTTCCCCAATCAACGTAATCCAGTAGCCACCCAAAACTGGTTAATCAGCCAGGCAAAAAATGTACGGCTCTATACATTTCCAAGCCAGAGAGGTAACTCAGTGGAGTACAGTGAAGACCTGAGGGTCAGAGTTCAGCTCTCCAGAACCCACGTGAATGCAGGATTCGCAGGTATACTGATTAGCTAGCCTAGACAGAATGGGCGAGCTCCACGTTCAGAACAGACCTAGCCTCAGTAAATAAAGTGGAGCGCAATAGAGGAAGACATCTGATGTGACTTCAACCTCCCCCCGACCCCATTCATGAACATGAACTCACACATATGTGAACACGCGTACACTCATGCTCACACACAAAACATGTATGCACACACAAAGTGAGAGTCGTGTATGTGGCTTCTGTGAAGCAATACTAATTTTACCAGGGAAGAATTCCTCTACTGATAGAGTTCATGTCTATACCAACAATTGTTCTGAGGCCAGGAGACCTGTGGGAATTCATTACATTCGTTTCTGAATGAACTTGTACTGAATTCCCAGACTGCAATTGTGTGAAGAAAACTATAATTTTCCTGGTCAGCTATCAGCTATCGCTGTTTCGTTCATACAGTTTATACAAGTCTACTCAGAAAGCAATATTTGTTTAGTTTTTAATTTGCTCACACCATTGTCAACGCAAATATACAAATAATATAAATGCCGCCAGGCGGTGGTGGCACACGCCTTTAATCCTAGCACTTGGGAGGCAGAGGCCGGTGGATCTCTGTGAGTTCCAGGCCAGCCTGGTCTACAGAGCGAGTTCCAGGAAAGGCACAAAGCTACACAGAGAAACCCTGTCTCAAAAAACCTATATATACATATACATATATATATATATATATATATATACACACACACACACACACACACACACACACACGCGCGCGCGCGCGCGTGCGTGCGCACCTATGCCTTCTAGGAGGTTGAAATCCAATTAAAGCAGTCATTCTAATTTCTATAGTAATGACCCATATGTTCTCAGGCTGAGAACCAGGAAAGCTGAAGAAAGCTGTGGTAGAGGCCTTGTAGTTGTTGAACTTTGAAGACCAAACAGGAGCTAGTTTGAAATGGACTTACTCATTATTCGACAAACACCTAGTGAGTCACTAAAGCTGTTCCCCAGGAGTTCAAAGCAATGAGCTATAGGAGGTCAGTGACCCTGTTTTAAAACCACATCTAAACCATTGTGAGAGGGCAACTCATAATCGAGTACAGAAATTAGATAGACATGTAATCAGAACGCTGCAGTATCATATAATAAGGGCTGTACAAGGAGTAGGGCTGGGGACGCTTGAGCTTGGTCCCCAGCCCCACATGAAACCAGACACGGTGACACACGCCTATAATCAGTACTTGGAAGGTAGAAGGGTCAGAAGTTCAAGGTCAGCCTTAGCTACATAGCAAGTTTGAGGCTAGACTAGGCTCCATGAGACTACCTTTAAAAAAAGAAAAAGGAGTACAGGATGCAGTCGTAGCTCAAAAGAGACATCAGCGTGCCTGCCTGGAGTGCAGGATAAAGCAAGCATTGGACCCTGGAGTGGGAGCAGGGGTGGGGGATAGGGGTACAAAAAGCAAGTGAAAAAGCCCAGAGGCAACTGCAAAGGATGAATCCTGCCCCGCCAAGGAGGCCTGTTCACAGGCTACAGATGCCGGCATTGTAATATTTTTATCTGGCGGGGAGGAGACTGACCTACCCAGAAAGGAGAATGGAGCCAGATGATTCTGAAGGGCCTGGAAAGCCAAGTCTAGAACCCACTGGAAACTGTCTAAGGTTGTGTGTGCAAGGTGAAAGGTGCCATTTCGGGAGGATGATTCCAGAAAGCTGGATTAGATCAGGAAAGGGTGGAGTGCTGAGTCTTCTGGGGAAGCCGCGGAGGGTGTCCCAGGCACCAGATACTCCAGGGGGGTGGGTGCATGCCAGGAGAAGGAGAAGAGAGGGTGCCAGAGACTAGTGTTGAGAGGAAGCTGAACCCCATGACTGACGAGATGGGAGGGATGATTTCAGAAACTACTCCATTTGAAAAGCCTGGGCAACATTGTGCTGGGGAGGCAGCAAGGTGCTCCTGGGGGCTCCCTGGTGGATAGTGGGGTGCTTATGCTCCAGTAACCGGCTCTGTACCCGTGTGCATAAAGGCAGTAGAGGTGGACTTGGGGAGAGGTGAAAAGAGATCATGAAGTCGGGAGGGAGGTAAGGCAGAAAAGGTGGTCTGGACAGAGTCTGAAGGGAAATGGGAGGCTTTATATGACCAAAACACATTGAATGAAAATATAAACAGGCAGGCAACTTCATAGGCTATATATACCCAGGAGC